GTTTTAGTTTTATTCCTAACTATATAAATTCTGTTGAAAAGAATCTAACAAAATCTTACAAAACAACTTAAATATTAATATATAATAATGTATTAATTAATTTCGTAATTAGTAGTCTAAATTATTTGAAAATAACAATATAATTATTTATAAAAAAATTCTATATACTAAAAATATAGATGCTAAATTATATATTTTAGACACAAACAAGAAATATAAATGATCCTAAGAAAATATCTATTCTATCGTATAACTAAATAAAATTTAAAAATATTTTTCTTGCAAACTGTAGAAGAATGTATAAAACGTATAAGAACATATTTTGAAAGGGGTTACCTATTTTATTATTTCAATTATTAATTTATTGTACCGAATTTGAAATTATATTATTATGTAGTAACAATTTAACCCTTTCTAAAATACGAGCTTCATGTGGTTTTAAGATCCGTGTAATCGATTAGTGTTTGAATCTATAATGGTTGAATAACGTATCTGTAGACCATGATTAAAAGTCACATCATCATTTTGTTGAATTTATAATCCTTTCTAAATACGAGCTTCATGTCGAATTTTTTTTTCCAATTAGATAGCTATGACTTTTGCTCATCCATGCATTTGCCTGAGAGAGTTTATGAAGCTAGAATAGAACCACTAGATAATCTGAAGGTCCTTATCCAACACCCAAGAACGGAGTATGTGGAAAAAGTTGCTGCCGTTTTGGTTAAAGAAGGAGTTTGCTCAGATAGAAAACTCCCACATTGGAAGCGTAGTGAAGTTGGTCAGAAGAACCAGTGTTGAGTCTTCAGAGAGTCTTTTTTATTTCCTCATGCAGCGAAGAGTACTGAAAAAAGGAGAAGCACTTTGGTTTACCTTCGCCGAACAGCCTCAGAGATTTTCAACGAGGGAATTCTATATGGCAACATGGTTAGAAAGTGAAGAAGATAAAACAGAAGTGGAAATGAGTGACAGAGTGGTAAAAAAACCTTACCTATGGATGTTAGGCAAGAAGGATAAATACACGGTGGAAACATTGTATGAAATGTTTAAGAAGAAAGCACCAGGAATGCCAACACTGGAAAGGTTCTCACTTGGAGTAGCAATAATTACAGAAGGAGTGATTATTGCAGAAAAGACAGGAACTCTAATCCCGAGAGAGAGGATGCTGAGTTACATGAACTATACCATTTCCAAAGGTGCTTGGGGTAGAGTTGCATATAATGTCTTGTCAAAGAGTATTAAAAGCTTGGATTCAGGTTCCTGGTTAGGAGATGGTTTTGCAGTAAGTGGTTTTGTCATCGCCATTAACTTATGGGCAATGTCCTCAGTGAGTGTTCTTGGCCAATCATTGGGAAAACCATTCGAGACGTCCTCTTCATCAGATCCGCTCATTCTGCATTGGGAGTCAACAAAGAGTAAGACCATAACCAAAGTTTCAGCGCTAGAGAAGATAGATAATGTAAGTTTTTATAAACGTTTATAAATTAATCCGTATGATCATATTAGAAAATGTTTGAAAGTAGATTTCTAGATAGATTCATGGACTCATTGAAAAAATCCTGCAAAAAAATGAGAAGTGTTCACAAAAGATTAGAAATATTATTTTACACGGTCTTATAATTTTATAAATATGAGATTTACAAGGGATTATAAAACACATGTTTTATTTTTGTTACAGGTTGTGGTTGATACAATTTTTGAATCTCCTAATGAATACAAACATCTGGTGAATACAACACATGAGGATGATTTGGACTTTCACAGCATTATCAACATGGTTCTCATAGTATACAAAATGATGAAAAGAGACTGGGAACAAGGATTTGTGGATATTTTTGTTATAACAGAAGCCATAGGTGAGCAACGGAGGACAAAAGACAAATATGAAGAGCATGAGCAAGATCTAGAACATGACAAAGCTAAAGAGAGTCAGAAAGATGAAGAGAATCAGAGAGATGAAGAGAATCAGAACGATAACGAAGATAATAAAGATGAAGAGTATGAGAAAGATAAGGAACAAAGAAAAGATGAAGATCATTCCAAGTCTAATAGTGAGAAACTTGATGAGCTGATCCAAATGGTTCAAGGTTTGGGTAAGAGAGTAG